AACATCCACGTGAGTTTGGTTAAGAAAAGAATTAAAAGAGAATATTTGAATGTAATATTATTATTTTTTTGTTAAATTTTAGTTTTGGAAATGTTAAGATGTTAAATTTAGTTTCTGCAATAAATTTTATTCTTATTTAATACTGAATTAGTTGAAAGAGAATTAATTTATTATTATTATATTATTTAATTTTTTAATATTTTATTATTTAAAATTAATTTTTATAAAATAAGTCTTTAAGCATATTTTAAATATTTATAAAAAAAGTTCTTAAAACTCATCTCCTTTATCTTTTGCTTATTATTCTAATTTTAGAAAGATAATGAGTGTTTAGATGATAATTTTCCCACCTTGCCATGCTTGCAAAGCATAAGGATGAAGTGTTGTAACAAAAAGGCAACCAAATCCTTATCCTTCGTACCTTTGTAAAAGCCAAGGAAGCAGCTAAATCATCATAACAACCAAACATGTAGATTTGGATATTATAATCCTATGTGTCAAAGTTTTTTCTTCTTTATGAAAAACACTTATTTGAACTAAGCTTCCATGTGGGCTTTCCTAATCACAACCAACAAGTGGTTGTAAGCAACAAATTTGGAATCAATGTGAAGTGCAACAACAAGGCAATGAGAAGAAAATTGTAGATGAGGGAGGAGGGTAGGTGAGAAGGTGTTGTCCAAAGTCTACTAGTTGAAGAGTTTGGCTCGCACCCACCACCCTATTTTTTCTTCAACGTACCTTTTTATTTTGAGAGCTACTTCTAATGTTGGCGACTTGATTATAGGCAGTAAAATGCATAGAAGAATAGTTAAGCTTGTGTTTAGTTTTGATCATATTATTAGAACTTCGTTATCAAAAATGTATTAAGAATTGTGTTGTTTAGATGATGCATAGAAGATGTTTGATGAAATATGTGAAAGATATTTAGTTTTTTAGAGTTCTATTATATTTTTTAGATTTTATTGTATATCTTTTAGAAGGTCCATGTGAGCTTTTATACGTACAATTATTCACTTGCTTAATTAGAATTGGATCACTTAGAGGGTCATATACATCATCACTTTCATCTTCTAAAGTATCTGCAAAGTCCTCTAACTCTCCATTGTCATTTTCATAAAATAAATATGGATAATAACTTAAAAATTGATAATCTAATGCCAACAAACTTAGTTCTCCAAGACCATGATTATACCTTGACATAGAGGGTTGACATGCATTTATCATCACCAGTACCTACTCCTAGACAACAACTTGTATGCTAAAGATCATTAACATTTCACTTCATCTCTAGATAAGAAAGAACACGTATTTCTTATTTGTGAATTCAAGTTTAACAAGCAATGACCCCTTCACCTCCTTACACCTTATGTTCTAGTTACTTGCCAACACTCCAAACACACAAACATCCAAAATCATTAATAACATGCACAATGAACACTAAATGTATCAAAGTAACACTTCTCAAACTATTTTTACAAGATCATAATACTTAAAATAATTGAAAAAGGAAAGGTTGAAGAATTTTTTTTACAAATATTTAAATATTTAAAAAATTATTTATAAATATTATATTTAAATAATAAAATATTAAAAAATTAAATAATGTGGTAATGATGAACTAATTCTCCATCCGCCAACTCACTATTTAGTAGAAGAATAATTGATAATAGGAACTAAATCTTAACATCTTAATATTTTATAGACTAAATATTAATAAAAAATTTATAAAAGTTTATTACAAAATAAGTTATATTTAGAAAAACTAATCACATATTTAAGCTTTTTTTAATTTAATAATAAATTAAAGAAAAAGACATTATCAGATCCAATTTGAATAGATATCCAGAAAAGTCTTTATAAAATAAATTATCATAAAAAATAAATAATTTTTTTCTAAGTTTTTTTTTTTAATTTTAGAAAATTTAGATGACAAAATTTCTAAAAATAAATAAACAAATTATTTATAAATTATAAAAAAAAATTATATTAATATTTTACAAATTTTTTTAAAATTTATCCAAACTCAACCTTAAATATCATTTTTTGTTCATTTATCCTTATTTTAAAAAATATATTAATATTTTTCATCTTATATAAAAACACAAAACTCTTCATAATTGCTTTATAAGCCTAATGGATCCATTTTTTTCAGTCGTCTTTGTTAACTATTTTTTATTATCTATTTATCGATAATCAAGTAACCATTTATTTGAATTTTTATTGAATTACTTTTTGCAAAGCAAATAGAAGTATTGAAAGTTGGTTCAAATCTTGGGAAATTCATTGTTCCCTTATTCATTTTCTATTTCTCATTTATATGAATTTTTAACTACTTTGGTATTTTTTTAAATATTTTCTCTAACACACTCAATATATTTTGTTATGTTTTGTCTTTTATTTTTTGTTTCCTTTTACATTTACTTTTGACTATATTCAAGGAAATTTGTAGATGATTTTTTAAAATATTTATATTTTTTTATTTTAGTACGTATGATTTAAAGTCCGTACCATGCATGATAAACTCTGCAATGGGTTTGACACATTCCAGTAATTTTTATTATTTTATTTTATAATATATAAAGTATATATTTTTAAAAATAAAAATATTGTTATAAAATTTAAATTATATAAAATTTTATAAAAAATAAAAAATAAACCAAAACTTCTTGTATATCATATAGTAATTTCAAGATTGGAAAGTTACATTGAATCTTAATTAATTTGACACTATCAAGTGTAACTCTTGTTTAAATGGATAAAGTTGGTTGAATTTACTCGAGGAAAATAATACTCTTTCTTGCTTCAATCAAATTGTGTTGGTCTCTAATAAATATTAAAAATAATCAGTAAATTAGTTAGTTAAAAGTTCAAAAGTTAATAAAAGTGGAAAATTTAAAAAGCTAAAATATTATTAGTTGAAAGTTATTAAGTTAACTTGTATAATTAATTTAACCAAAAAAATATAAAAATACATAAAAAGAATATGTTTATATATTTTTAATTTGTGGATAAAAATGTATTTTTAAGTAATTATAAAATTTTTATTTAATTTTGAACTTTATTATTTTTTGTTTAATTATTAAAAATAATGCAATAATTAAAAAAATAATTTAATGTTAATAAAAATGATAAAATAAGTAATTTTAGTAAAGTACCAAACTTAAAAATAAAAATAAAATAATTAAATTATAAATTTAAACACTATTTTAAAAAATAAATTTGAATCTTTCAATAATATAGTGGATAAAGTAGATGTATAATTTTTGATTAAAAATATAATTATTGAAATTGTAACTAAATTTAAAAATTATTATAATACACTATTTTTTATATATTTAATTTTTTTAATTAATAACTAAAAATGTACTTCCTTATTACATACTAATACAATAAACCAGTGATAGATAGTTCAAGGATATATGTTTAATATTTTAAAATAAATTTGTATCATTAAAAGTAACTATTTCATATTTTAAATATTCTAACTTTGATTAAATTATCTTTTATAAAATAATTGTGACTAGAGAAAAAATAATAAAATGAAGAAATTTTTTATATTTAAAATAAAATATTTTAAAAAATATATTATTATAACTGAATAGTTATAAACATGCTCCAAACTTGTGCATAAATAGTGCAATTTATATATAAATTATATATTTTTCTTGTAAATTATACATTAAAAATATATTTTGATATTTTTAAATTTGTTTATTTATTTTATTTTATATATAATATGAAAGTCAATTACTGAACATGTACGAAAATGGATTGAGTTTAAGGGCACTTTTGGTAGCTTGCTCTCTTGATGATCATCTCACAAGTCCACCTAGATTACAATCCAACTGTAGCTGTGATGGTTTGTCTTCATAAATTATAAAAATATATCCAACTATTTTTGCGTGTCTTTTTGACTTTTTAATATGTATCCGGCAGCATCCTTTGTTGAACGAACGCTTTCTAAGTTAAACATAAACAGAGGCTCCCAAACCAAACGGAACCTCGGAAACAAAATTCCCAACAAATCGTTTTCACGTTAATAGCTCATATTTATTATTATTATTATTATTCTAATTATGAATATTCTTTTTTGGGTCCGTCTATAATCCATAAAACTCCTACAAAATCTCACCAGCTTCCAACCTAACACACTTATCCCAAATTTCAAATTTATCTAGAAACAATCTTTTCACTAACAATTCTTTCATTCTTGGCCAATTCTGTGCATAGTTTAAGCTCATACCCATTCTTTTACACCACTTGTATACTCTCATTTTTGTTATTTCAATACATATCATAAAGGGTCTTGTTGGTTGTTGAGGCAACGAAGAAGGTAAAATGACTACTTGAGATTTCATTGACTAATTTTGTCTTTGGTTTGAATTTTCTTCTTAAGGATAAGAACCTTTCTTTTGATTTTTGTTGCTTCCTCAGTGATCATAGGGACATTAGATTTTGAAACCTGATTCTGTGTGTGTATTTTTTTTTTTTTGTACAGTTGCAGTTGTGTTGTTTGGACTTCGGATCAGTTTGATGCTGTTAAGGTAAATGCATGCTCTTCTCTGTCTGTCTTGCTATTTGGTTCTTTCTGGTTATGTTGTTATTTGCATTTGGAGCTGTTTGATTGGGGTGAAAATATCTTGCTTAGAGACAAATGAAAAATATTAGACCAGATTATTGCATGTACCTGAATGTAGTAAGAAATGTTTTTTACCACTTGAGAGGGAAAACTTTAGGTGTTTTCTTTATATTTGAAATGTATTTTTGGGATGTGTGTATACAAAAAAGATTAATAGTGAGTGAAAGATAAAAACAACTGTATGCTGTGTCACATATAATGTCAACTTTTAGTTGTTCAAATAATGAAACTGATGTAATAATGCTGGTACATAATGCTGAAGTTGTGAGGAGGTACTTGGCGCGTGTATGTTACTGGAGCTCCTGAGAATTTTATAAGAAAACAAAAATGGAAAAAATATAATTAGTAAATAAAATCTTTATGCAACGACAAACAAATCCTCCTGAACAATTTAGCTTAGCTGTAATAAACAAGGATCACGTTTGCACTCCCAATTTCCTTGTATGGTTGTGTTAGAATAAGGATGAATTATCTGTCATTTGCTCATTCCCCATTGCATTAATTCAAACAATCTTCCTGGTTTTTGTGATGCTATTTTTATTAATTAAACATTTTTGTGTAGAAGTCCTTTCATGTTCTGATTTATTTGGCTGAATTATTTTCAAATTTAGATGAATTTGTATAGTTTCTTAATTAAGAAAAGTAATTAAATGATTTTTCTGAATTTGAGTGATATATACTTAAATGGGACTGAAGTTGTTTTTCTTGGAAAGTCTGCTGCTAAGAAATATTCTGCTTAGCTGTCTCTGAATGTAACGCTTTCTCGTTCACAAGCTTCATATGGTAGGCAAAGAGGAATTGCATGAAAGACATTGAAAGGTGATGTTCATGAGTGCAAGTTCAATCCAGATATACTTGTGGAGGTTTCTTATATGCTTTTTGATTGTGAGTAACTTCTTATGTTAAGTTTGTAATTCTATGTTTCTGATTCAGTCTGTGTTTTTATAGAATTGGGTGATTCAAATTCAAAGATCGGGTCTGCAGAGATATTCTTGAGGTTAACTGCACGAGTTTGAAGCAAATCTAGGTAAACATGTGTGGTTTTTCTTATATGCAATTTAATCTTTAATACCTGTTTGTCTTAGTTAAATGATTATGGATCTGTGTTTGAATTGGTTGAAAATCGAATTTTGGATACACTAAATCCATTGTTGGAATTATCTATGATTTTCTTCTCTTTTTTTCTGAAAGAGAGAATCCAATTTATTTTTTTTTGAAAAATGGGAGGTTTAAATGAAATTTTATCATTGAAAAGATCATAACATTTCGTTCCAGAATTGGAAAAGCGTTACACCCAAATATAGCCAGAATGGTTGTGGCTGCTAATGCTCTTGGCGCAGCAGCTTTGGGAGAAGGGGGTAGGTATCAAGAAATCCCACTTGACGCGTAAAGTAGAGGTGGCACCAAGATCAAGTACTTGAGGAGTAGAGATCGATCATCCGATACCAGAGGAGTTAACACTGATCATATGCTATATGGATACTTGATCAAGTGATGGAGAGGATGATTCCCATATAACCTTAGAAAGCGGAAAATCCTATGATTTGGGGATGGAGAGGGATTTTATCCCTTGATACCTGATATGGAGAGATATGATCTCCATTTGACAGTTCTCTAGAAGATACAATGGTCATTTGGTGGGGCTAAGATAATCAATGTTTGATTTGTGCCTCCTAAGCAGTAATATCCTGAACCCAAAATCTTAGAATACAACACATGAATCCAGTGAAAATGGTTATTGGAGCCTTGTTTTCTTGTTCTTTGACTTATGAAGCTGACCTGCATTTTACTACTTGATTCTATTGGTAAATATGAATTAAGTTGATGTTTCCTATTTCTTATGTGATGTTTAATGGTTTGTGATTTCTTTCAGTAAATTAAATAGTTGTGAATTACTGAAAAGAATTTGAAGAATTTGTAACTGTATTGTTGTGCTTATAATATGAGGCATTATGTATTACTATAGTACTTATATTGTGTTATTTTTGTGCATTTTTTTTGTTTATTTATACATATGGTAAAATTATCTATGTAGCATTGAATGATATTGCTTCTAATTGGACTTCTAATTTCAAAAACAGTGATTTAACCATAAGAAATGTTAATTTGCAAATGCTTATCTCACCGTCTGAATAGGATTAATTTGTTTCCCATTTTCAAAAATCAACCCATGGTGTAAATATATCTACTGAAAGCAGTGATTATCTACCAATATTAAAATGAATGAATAATTGAACTTGTGGAGTTTAACTGAGATATGTATTTGTGTTCTATACTGCTTCATTGTATAGTTATAACTGTTTCTCTTCTATCTATCCAGGTTCTTGCTTCTCTCTGGGATAATTTTTCAACATCTTTTTAGCTGTGGATACCATTTCTGCATTATACTGCACATTGAAATATCTTTAAAATTTGGGAATTCAAGTAAAGATGGTAGCAAGATCATGCACGAATTTGTTGGACTTGGTGTCAGGGGATATTTTGAATTTCCCTCAAACTCCTAGAGCTCTTCCGCGAGTTATGACTGTTCCAGGAATTATGTCTGATGTTGAGGGTAAACAAAGTAATGATGATGATTCAAGTGCTTTTGCATCAGAACACCGTCACAAGATAATCATAGTAGCAAGTTCTCTTCCTCTCAATGCTAAAATGGATAACGTATCTGGCAGATGGTGTTTTAGTTATGATGAAGATTCAATTTTTTGGCAGTTAAAGGATGGTCTCTCTCCTGATACTGATGTTGTTTATGTGGGATCCCTTAAGGTTGACATTGATGCAAGTGAGCAAGAGAAAGTTTCTGCTCATTTACTAGAGGAATTCAATTGTGTGCCTACTTTTATTCCTTCAGACCTCCACAAACAATTCTATGATGGATTCTGCAAGCAACATTTATGGCCTCTATTTCATTACATGTTGCCCATGTATCCAGGCAATGGCTATCGCTTTGATAGGTCACTGTGGCAGGCTTATGTTTCTGCTAACAAGATATTTGCAGATAAAGTCATGGAAGTCATTAATCCAGAAGATGATTATGTATGGGTTCATGATTACCATCTCATGGTTCTTCCAACATTTCTGCGGAGGCGGTATAGTCGGGTCAGGCTTGGTTTTTTCCTCCATAGTCCATTTCCTTCATCAGAAATTTATAGAACCCTACCTGTCAGAGGTGAAATTTTGAAAGCACTGCTTAATGCAGATTTAGTTGGTTTTCACACATTTGATTATGCTCGCCATTTTCTGTCATGCTGCAGTCGAATGCTTGGCTTGGAATATGAATCCAAAAGGGGTTACATTGGACTTGAATACTTTGGCCGTACAATATTCATTAAAATATTACCTGCTGGGATTCATATGGGTCGACTTCAATCTGCCTTAAACCATCCTTCCTCTTCCATCAAAGTCAGAGAAATCCGTGAACAATTAAAGGGGAAAAAACTTATTGTTGGTGTTGATGATATGGACATATTTAAAGGTGTAAGTTTAAAGTTCTTGGCCATAGAACAACTCTTGCAACAATATCCAGAACTGCAGGGTGAGTTAGTACTGATCCAAATTTTGAATCCCCCAAATAGTATGGACGGAGATGTTGGGGAAGCAGAGAACGAGGCTTACATTTCTGCCAAAAGGATAAATGACAGGTTTGGTTTGCCAGGTTATGAACCTATTATCATTATTGATCATCATATTTCTTTCTATGAGAAGACAGCCTATTATGCTTTGGCCGAGTGTTGCATTGTGAATGCAGTGCGCGATGGTTTGAATTTGGTTCCATACAAGTACATTGTTTGCAGGCAGGGTAGTTCTATAATGGATGAAGCCTTAGAATTTGCTTCTGGATCCCCACGTACAAGTGCACTTGTTGTTTCTGAGTTTATAGGTTGCTCACCATCTCTTAGTGGGGCAATCAGGGTAAATCCATGGGATATTAGTGCTGTAGCTGAAGCACTAAATTTGGCTATCACAATGCCTCATGGAGAAAAACAGTTTCGGCATGAGAAGCACTATAAATATGTTAGTTCTCATGATGTGGCTTACTGGGCACGAAGTTTTGAACAAGACCTAGTCTTCTCGTGCAAGGATCATGACAGGAAACGTTGCTGGGGCATTGGCTTTGGCTTGAATTTCAGAATTTTGTCCCTCTCTCCCAGTTTTAGGAAGCTATCCATAGACCATATTGTCTCTGCATATAACAGGACAAATTGCAGGGCAATCTTTTTGGATTATGATGGTACAATTGTTCCTCAAGCTTCCATTGTTCAAGCCCCCAGTCTTGAAGTTGTATCGGTGCTAAATAATCTTTGCAGTGATCCTAACAACACTGTGTTTATTGTTAGTGGCAGGGGAAAAACCTCATTGGGTGAATGGTTTGATCAGTGTGAGAATCTTGGTATAGCAGCTGAGCATGGTTATTTTATAAGGTTAGTGTTTTCATTATGCAATTCAACTGTTAATGATAGTGACATCCTTAATAACTTTCGTACCTCATTATACTCCTTAAAAGAAAAACAAAGAAATGGTGAAAATGAGGAAGGAAAATAAATAGATAGTTATTTTTATCGACTTACAGCCTTGGCTTATTATGCTACCATGCTGTCAAAAATTGAATTCACCTTCTAGTGCATGTTTATAAGGGAGTTTTGCTTTTTATGGTGCAGTGGCTATCATATTACCAGTAAGTTCTCTTAATTGATAGTATATTTGTTTGATCTTTTCTGTGTGATGAAGATTTGAATTCACCTGTTAGTACATGTTTATATGGATGTTTCCACTTCGTATGGTATAGTGGTGTTAATGTCGCTAGCAAGTTTTCTAAAAATGATGGTATTTATGTTTGATCTTTATCATATAAGGTGGGGTAAACAATCAAGTTGGGAAATGAGACATATAGGCACAGATTTTGCGTGGAAAACGATTGCTGAACCTGTGATGAGATCGTATACCGAGGCCACAGATGGCTCCTACATAGAGACCAAAGAGAGTGCCTTGGTATGGCATTACTATAACGCTGATCCTGACTTTGGATCCTGGCAAGCCATGGAGCTATTGGATCACCTTGAAAGTGTACTTGCAAATGAACCTGTAGTTGTTAAGAAGGGACAGCATATTGTTGAAGTCAAGCTTCAGGTAATTACTTATTTCTTTTCCTCTCAACTTATTTTTGTTCTCAAAAGCTGATATTGTCCAATCCATTATCAACATTACAGGGGATTACTAAAGGGCTGGTTGCGCAAGAAGTGCTGTCAACACTAACCAAGAAGGGCAAATCACCAGACTTTGTACTCTGCATTGGGGATGATAGATCTGATGAGGATATGTTTGAGAGCATATTAACCAAACCTGATAGTGCAACCTCCCTCTCAGCACCAGAAATCTTTGCATGCACTGTAGGACAAAAGCCAAGCAAAGCTAGATACTACCTGGATGACACTATGGACGTGATGACATTACTTCGGGATCTTGGTACTGCCTCAGGGCCTGAATCAAGATGTTCTACAGACACCCCTTTTGAGAAAAAAGAAGGTTGTTTTGAGAATATTGTTTAAAATGCAGACCTTAGCTGTCTAGGCACCAGCATAGGATAAAGACATAGTAGTTATGGTTCAAGGTTGTTTTTACTAAGATGTACAAAAGAATGGTTTAGGGAAATAGTTTTGAATCGTGCGATTGTAGAGAATGTTGCGGCTTTAGGTTGCAGAAACTCAACATAAGGGATTAGAGTGATTGGTTTCGATTGGTTGGTGGGTGCAAAGGGATGTGTCTGTTGGCTGTCGCTGTGGTTTCAAAAGGATACTGAATATGTGCGTTCATAGATACAGAATCTAGGCATTCTTCCTGGACGAGAATCCTGTATTTGAACTCGTTCGATTTATACATGAATGTCATCTGAGTCTCTCCAATCATCCAATCATTTACCCTTTTTGTCTGTGCGAACTACTTATCTATTTTTAGTTCGCACCTTGAAGGAAATGGCGATCACTGAATCCCATGCACAACTTTTTAATACTAGATTCACTATTAAAGTTGTCAAAAATAAATCAGTTCATGTAATTCAAATCTTTATTTCTCAGAATCTACAACTACAATCCATACAACTAAAAACTCATTTTAGTATATCGGTTTAGGACCTAATTGTACGAAGTTTCGAATCGAATTTGATTGACATGAATTTATTTATTTGTTTTTTGTCATTAACTTCCTCTCAAATTTCGTGCATAATTTATACCGTCCATTTTTATTTTCTACTTTATAGCGCAGTTTTGATTAAAGATGTTTATTTTAAAATAAGTTTGAAGAAAATTTTAACTTGACAATATATATTAACTTGTAAAAGGTTACATTTTTTATTTTTATTGAAATACTTTGTTTGGAAGTGTAATTGAGCAAGAAATTAAAGAATTTAATGTAATATAAATTATGAGAAGAATTTAATGTAATATAAGTTATGAACCTTATATTATTTTTTAAAACAATTTAAATTATAAAATCATTTAGCATAGTTTTATAACCAAAGAATTATAAAAAATTATTTTTAATAAACAATACGTATAAGGTTTTGTATTTTTATAGTAAATAATAAATTATTTTTCTAATAACCTTTTAAAACATTATTAAAATTTCTTAAATGATTAATATTTATATGAATTATTTTCAAAATTACATAATTTTATTTATGAATTAACAAAAAAATAATATAATGATTTAAATTGATAATAATTTTTTTTAAAATGAGAGAAAAAAATATTAGAGACCTAAAGAATTTGCCTCATTTGCCATTAAGCAGCTACGGCTTTATGCAAGGAACACTTTTGTTCTACAAGGCTTTCTCACAGTCATATACCATTTGAATTTCATTTTTTAAACACCTTAGCTTTGAAGTTAATTTTAGGAGAAAAAAGTTAAGAAGATTTATTTAATCAATAATTTTTGGTAATTTATACGGTTTCTTATAAATTAAGAAAGTATTTTATATTTTTGCACACGTAAAACAATTATTGCCATTAATTTTATATTAATAGATAATGTGGTTAATAATTTAATTAAAAAAATGTAAATCTTTTAATCTCTAAAATATTAAAAGAATCACACTCTCAATTTAAAAATGATACACAATACTTTTTTTTTGCGAATAACATGTAACGTTCTTAAATATTAAATTTTAAATATATGTAGTAGTCTATAACAATGGAAGAAAATAAAATATATTATTATCATATTTATAGCTTAAAGAGTTAAATAAAAAGACAAAATCTACATTTATTTATTTTATCTATAAAAACTTAAAGGTGTTTCAAATTTCAAAAGAAATAATTGCTAATATTTTTTTTAGATTTATAAAAATAGAATGAAAACAAAAATTTATGTCATGATAATCCACTAAATAAATATCGTATACATTTAAGTTTAAACCATAGATAACTCTCTTGGTCAGTAGGATAATTTTCTATCTAAAACAGAATGTAAACTATAATTAAATTAGCTAACTTGTAATATTACAAAATACTTTGAATTATTTTTTATAACAAAATTTTAACAAAGTGACATAAATTCAAAAATTGACACAAAAAATATTTACATACCTTTGTCAACTTTAACATAAACTTAATTAGAATTATTATTCAAAATAATATAAACACCATCCGAACAATTTTTTCTCACAATCTCACTAAGAATATAATTTGAGATTGAATCATCCTTCCTTTATTCTTCAATTTAATTTTTTGAAAAATAATTTGTAAGGATAAGTATATCTGCCTCACCAAATCCTTTATTTTATAAATTAGTCAAATAACACAGAAAACATTAATTGGTGCAGAAAACACCAAATGGTACTAATTCAAATGTTACATTATCAATTTACAATAGATCACATGTGATAACAAGCATATCATCCACACTTTAAGCCATACACTAAGATCACACGTTTCATATATTCTTTCATCAATCAGCATGTCATAATACGTGTGTTATAACCATATTAATTAATGCATTACAATACATGTATTATAATTACATATGTCGATGTATTATACATACCAATAAATCTGTTATGACTCACCTATTACAATAATACATCTCACAATTTCACAATCATTACCCTTGAGATTTTTTGAGGTCTTACATAAGTATAGATAGTCACCAATTAGCCTGAACAACATGGATACAATGTGTATTTCCTCAACCCTTTTAGCAAAGATATAGTCAGGAGTCTAGTCAAGAAATGAGTGTATGACCTTTGATACTTTCAATTTTAGCAAATCATGTGCACTAACTTACAAATAACATTCACTACCCTTATTTCTCCATGATTTCCTGAATCGTCTACGGATTTTATATCCCTAGTGATTTTTGTAATTATCTATTACATAGTCTCAATATTTCTCATGACACATTTTATTAACACTTATCTTTTCACTTTGATAGCAAAAACAACTTTAATTTCCCATTCACCTTTTTACATCAATTCTTAATTCATCATTTTTCACTAATAAAACATTTTATCATTCGGGACAGTAAAAAACTTTTCATAATACCATAAATTTACCAATTTCAACATACATAAACTATCAGACAAAAATCCACACTCATTGTAATATATCATTCTAATACAGATAAATCATTCATCAATTTCATATCATACAAATCAATAAAATGTCACTATAGCGAGAAACCTTGCACCAAAATTTCTATTTTTTTAATAATAAATGCAATAAAATTGAGAATGTTACATACCATAACAAGTAACATAATTTTTTATTAAAAAGAAAAGTTTTAAAAATGTGAAAAAGGCTTTAAAAGTTTATTAAGTGTTCAAAATTCTCATAAATATATTTTTAAATTTCTCAAATTAAAAGTTACATTTGTTAACTTTTCTTTTTCTTTTTCTTTTTCTTTTTCTTTTTTCTCCTTTCTTATCTCTCAAACTTTTTCTTTAATTTATTAGGTAATTTGGACAAAAGTTGATTAACAATGCAATCCTTTAAGGAAGTTGCTATACCTATTTTACATTAGTGGGACTTCTCAATCTTATACAAATCCTTGGGGGCATGCTTGACTTAGGTAAGTAAAATTAATGCACATCTTCCATTTTCTAGTACTCTTTCTCACCATGACCACCTTTGATAGTTAGACAGGATATTCCACCTCTGTAACGCATTTTGTTTTCATTAGTTTGTGGATCTTTTCCATTACAACTTTTTTCCTTTCTTTGCAGAATCTTTTTTATTTTGTGTGGGTTATGGTTTTAACTTTGGGATTGATTTTTAGCATGTTAACCACTAATTAAGCAAATTGGTTTGGTTGGTCAATTTTACCAAAAAGTTGTCCCAATTTCGCCTATAAATGGGTTTGCAACGGATTTGTATTTTAATAAGTTCTTCACTATTATGGCCTTCTATCTCTCTTGGTTCACCTCTAATCTACTTGCACAACACCTACTTGTCTAGCCTTCACAGGGCACTTCATAATTAATTAGGTCTGGTATGGACACCATGTCTCCTAACACATTCGAATGCCTCAATTATATAGCATAGAGATATTTAATATGCAAATGCCTCATTTGTATTAGCTCTTCGACTTCTATTCTTAATGTCACTCGTATTTCTACCAGGTGGCCATATGTTCAATAGAAGTCACACTACTAGCTTTTCACAGCAAGAGGAGGTGAAGAATATACATTAGTTTGGAGGAAGAGAAACTTCAATATATTAGAGTATATTAAAGTATGTTCATAGTACTATTAGAAGTGTGTGTTTATTGTCTCACTCATAAAATGATTATTATCAAAATAATATTTTCCTTCTACAACATATCAATACTAAAAATATTTTATAAAAAAAAATCAAATATCAATACACACACTCTTACTTCCTTCGTATTAGAAATGATATCATAAAAATAATAAAAAATATATAATAATTAAAATATTATTGTTATTTTTTATTTGACCATTAGAGCAACTTTTAGTTAGTTTGTAAGCTGATTTGCAATTGATCCATTCCCTAAATAAATGTGATTTGGTAATTTTTTATATCGAAAAATAAGTTAAATAAATTTTTATAATTTTACTTATTTTTTTGAATAAAAAGTGTTAGTTAAAAAATTAAAAAAAAATATTTTTATGAAAAATATTTATTTTTAGTTTCTTAAACAGTGTCTTTAGAAGATTGGTAATCATTTTCTTTAATTTATTATTTATTTTATAAAGCATATAAAAATTATTAAGATAAGTGGAAAAATATAAAAAATGTTCTTTAAGAAAATTTGTGAAGGTACAATATATATATATATATATATATATATATATATATATTGATTTTCAAAACATAAAAAAATGGACAAAAATAAAAGATATAATATAGAAAAAAGCAAATGAATAATCATTAAATGAAATAATTGGTTCTATAAATACATTATCTCCAATAAAATTATTTTTTTCTTTATTTATTCATAATTCTATATTATTTTAAATAAAATTAAATATTTATTATTATTATTATTATTTATTTTAAGAATATTTTAAATATTATTTTAGAATTAGATAAAATTAAAAAAAAAATTAATACCTACTCATTCGTTATTATTATTAGTTACTAATTTCAGTGATATATATATATATATATATATTAATAGTAAATAAATAAAATAGAATATTAAAATAAAATTTATATATAATTTTTTTCGAATGACTAATCATCTATTGTATTTTCATGTAAATAGAAGAAAAAAAAATTCTATAAAAAAATAGTAATTCACTGTGTTATTTAATAAAGAATTAAAATATTAGTGTAAATTAAGTAATTCAATAGATAATTTTAATTCTATTAAAAATACCTGTGTAAACAAGAACCTCTCAATTTTAACTGATATGGATAAAAAAATACATAGTTGAAATGATAGTAATAATTTTAGTTATATATATATATATATATACTTGTGTATGTGTGATATGTGCGTTTAGATTGTATTATTATAATTTTGATTTAGAAATACTATTCATATTTTTTAAATTAATTTATAATCTTTGATTATTTTTTTATTAATAAAATATTGCTTAAATTAGATAAACAAAAATTTGGAGCTTTTTAGTAAAAGTTATCAACTTATTTTTTTATTTTTTTCAATTTTATTTATAATAATTAATTATTTTAGAAAAAAATAATTATTAATTTTTTTATTTTTATTTTAATAAATAAAAGTAAATATATTATGTAAATCAAAGATAGTAGATTATTTTAAAATTATTTTTCATGTAACATATTTAAAACAAGTTATCTTAATCAATAAATAATTATAATAATTAATCATACATAGACCAATTATTACATTAATTGTCAAATTTTAGTACTCTCTATTTAATATTTTTTATAAAATATAAAATTAATTAATTTAACTATTAAATTATTTTATATAACTTTAATGATTAAACATGTATATAGCAAATTTTATATATTTTAAAAATTTATAAAATATAATCTAAAATTTAATATTTATTTATATTTTAAAATATTGCACAATAGAATACAACGAGACAAAAATATATACAGCAAAAGTAAACATTCAGTGAAGGACAACAAAACCAGCGACAAGACAGAGAAGAGTAGGAACAAGCTTCCCCACCCAAGTTAGGTAGTTTACACGAAAATAGGTATTATCTCACTTCATAATTTCTAATATTTTCTTCTCTTATTTAAAAAAATTGAATTTTATTTTGACTTGTAACAAACCATTTTACCCTATCGATACATATTCCATAGTATTAAAAAAATTTAGAAAGCTATAATTTATATATGTGAGTAAAAATTCTATAATTTGTTGGTAATCTACTGAAAGCCTTCGAGTGTAATTTATATTTTAATAAAAAGAATGAAGAGTGAGAAAATATAATTTTTAATACATTGTAAATTTTTAATTAAAATTATAAAATCATGAATAAATTTGATTGAATTAAAAATATGATTCACATAATTTTTATAATTTTAAAAAATATTTAATGATAAAAATTGTGTTAAAGATTGTATTATTTTTTCTAGAAATATTATAACTCATATTTTCCGAATTTTTACATTATATTTAATTTTGTATCACATAATTTACGATTATTTTATTTTGAGAGTATAATTAATGAAAGACATACATAAAAGCTTTCTTTATTATACCCAATTTAAATTATCAGAAGTCGGTTGACCCATGTTCAATATCAATACTTTCCATTACGCTTCGGATTCCCTAGCACAGCTTACATAATTATTAATTAATATACAATATCTATAAAAGAATACAAAAGCAACTCAAACCTACCAATCCAGGTATGAAGTGGATATGTATGACTATGACGCTGACACATAATCAACGAACCAGTGCAGCATATGCTGTCAACACCGTATAAAAATTCTTCAACTTCAACGGCTCCTAAACTCTTTGCTTAGTCAATCCCGAAAATGCCCTCACTAAACAGTAAAATAAACAATCGTCATTCATCAACTAACGTCACAAAAATAATGAAACCAGTTGTATGGTGGGCGATGACTAAGTCGCTGATAAGTGTGAATGATTAGGGTTAGGATTCAATTGTATTCCATATATTAATATTAGACACTGTATTGGATTATTATGCACTTCCACTGAAACTAGAAGAACACAGTAATAGTTTATGCACGGTTCTGGCATGTCCAATTCGCAACACACGGTGCTTGATTCAACCGGCGACGGTGAAGAGAGGTCAAACTCTCTCTTTGCGAACACCCGCTGCAGCTTCTGCTTCCCCTGCTGTTTCGGTTCTTCCCGTCATTCGGCTACGGTTGGGTTAGCGTGGTGGGAGCGCGTGCGAGCTCGTTCATGGTCTGAGTCTCACTCTCAGGCGCTTCCAGTAACCGAGAGCGCCGGTGACCAGTGGTGGTCGCGGGGTTTGAGAGGCCTTATGAAATTGCGCGAGTGGTCGGAGATAGTGGCGGGGCCACGCTGGAAAACGTTCATTCGGCGGTTCAACCGGAACCGAAGTGGCAGTTCACGGCACGTGAGGAAATACCAATACGATCCCTTGAGTTACGCCTTGAACTTCGACGAGGGTCCGGGGCAGAACGGGGATTTTGAAGATGACGCTTATGACGCGCATCGCAATTTCTCCACACGTTACGCTGCATCTCCTCCTTTTAAGTCCGTTTCCACTGGTTCGAACCAAGACGTCGCCGTTTTTAGCTAAGAAGAACGAGGAATTGCCTGACTGCACTTATTTTGGGAGTTTTGCTCCGGCGAACAAGCAAGTGCAGTTTATTATGTATTTTATCATAATATCAATAGCTTATTTTTTGATTGATTATACCATTTTAATTTTCTTTTTTCTTTTCTATTTTTTACTTTTACAGAAGAGTTTTTTTTATATAGATTTTTAGTATTTTTTTTTTCCCTTCTTTCTTATTTCTTTTAATGTAAGTTTATCTTTTTCTCTTTAGGTGTAAATATGATAAATGAGTGTTTTAAAATACTTTTGTTCTTAATTAGTGTTTTTAGTACGCTAAAGTTAACATTTTTTTAAAGCATAATTCTCAGTATATTCTCATTTTTGTTCCTTTCAGTGGATATTATGATCCGTATATAAATCCTCACCGTTGATTATTCTTGTTATCGGTCAATATCATGTTCGCTTCCAAAATAGTTAGAGTCGTGTTACTACGGGAGTGTTGATAATCAGCGCCAAAGGCTCAATATTGATAATTATATTTTGAAATTTTAAATATTAATTCTTAAAGTTAATTTTAAATATTATTCTTAAAAATATTTTATATTAATGTTTAAATTTTTTATGAAAATATTATTTTAAATAAATTATATTTTATTATAACGATACTTATTTTAAATTACTTCAAAATAATTTTTAAAACTAAATTCCTTTTTTTTTCCCATTTCGTTCAGGATTGGCGTTGCAAAATGCAATAAGCAGCACGGTGTTTGTCTTTTTCGCTTTTCTTTATATCTATATTTTTCTATAAATAATATTTTAAATATACCATTTCATGAATTAAAAAATGTTGACTCGTTGAGTGAGGCTTTTTTCATTTTTAATAAATATATTATTAAAATAATATTATTTTAAATAATATCTGTGCATGAGACTTCTTTTTGTTAAGTCACTACTAGTTTCATATCTTTTGTAAATATACAATTTTGTTTAAAATAATTTCTCACATACTAAAGAAAAAAACTTAAAATTTGTTTGTTAAGATGAGTTTTTTAAAATTATTTTTATAAATTTTTAAACTAAAAAATTTGTTTTTATTTTCTCAATTTAAAAACAATTTTTAAAATAAACTAGCAAATAATTTTTTTTAATTTTTCCTAAAATTTATTTTTTAAATTATATTAAAATGTAATTTTTAAAAAATAAAAATCAAAATTAAAAAAACAAGTTCTTAATTTTTTTACGGATTTTTGTATGCTAAATAAAATAAAATTCATTTTTTTATTTTTTTAAAAAATTTATATGCTAAAAAAAATAAGAATAGTTTTAAGGTGTTTTAGTTTTTTATTTTATTTTCTAATCTTAAAAAATATTTTGAAAACTAAACTAACAAATAAATTTTATTTTTTTTCTAAAAATCAATTTTTGAAATTATTTTAAATGTAATTTAAAAAAAATAAAAACAAACTAGTTCTTAATTTTCTTACAGAGTTTTGTATGCTATAAAAAATTATGTTTTAAAAAAAATCTCACATGCTAAAAGATAAAATTCAATACAACGTGATACATTTCAAAATTCTAAACATTTTAGTTGATGTGCCATGCTGTACTCTGCTGATTTAAAACCTTATTTGAGTTTAGATGTTATGTTTAGATCTTTAGGGAACTAGCGTATTTCGAACACAGAGATTATTTAAAAATAATATTATTTTAATAATTATTTTTAAGAAAATATTAAAAAAAAGCCGTTGTGTGATCAAACATGTCATCATGCATTTCTTAGGTGCTTCCAGGCAACACTATCGTTTTCTTGGTATGAGAACGAGTGCAATATTGACAGGTATATAATGTTCTTATCGGCCGACAAAAAATATAAAAAAAATATCCTTATGATTTGATTTTTAATCAACAAAAGCAGAAAGTATTCTTTAATTTCTAACTTCAAATTGATATTAAGCTTTATAATTAATATTCATTTTTTTCATTATAATTTTTAAGATATTTGTTTATAGTTTTTACTTTTAAAAATTATCTTTTTTTATTAAATTTTTAATTATTCTTGTATATGTTATTTGATCTTTTGTAATCTTATTTGTTTGATTTTATATGTTTATAGTTATGTTTAATTTTTCAATAAAAGATAATATATATATATATATATAAAAGAAGGCTAAAAGCCTAGAATAAAAACAAGATAAGTAATGGACTTAGGGGTCTAAATACCACAAACATTCAAACATAGAGCACGACACAAATTACAAGAATAAATCAAAACTAGAAAAAGGAGAAAGAGACTCTAACCCTATTTTAGCTAATCTGTTAGCTAATCTATTAGCACACTAATTGGCTTCCTTATATGTATGAGTTAACCTAATAGACTTCACAAGCTTAAGAGTATCCTTAATCTTACAAATAAAATAAAATAATATTACTCTAGTCTTTTTTATAAGAAATAAAAGACTAAATCTCTAGAACTAAAGAGAGTAATTAAGTCATTTATATTTTTTATAAATATAAATTTTATTTCAAAAATATCCATGATATTAAATATTATAGTTAGTAATTTGTACAATTAATAATATTAATAAAAGAATAGTATAAAAGAAATTTAACAATTAATGCTTCTTGAATCTATCATTTTTTTCTTATAATAAGGAGTAAGGAAATGCTTTATTTTATTTCTTATAAAAAGGACTAGAGGTAGTACATGAGAGTTATCTTGAATATGTTGAATAAAGTTCAATGCTTCTCAGAAGTCAGTCTCAATCCAATACATTATATGAAATTCTTTTTGAGATCAGGTGCACTCCATGATAAATTTCATAGAATTTAGCTTTCAATGAACTGTGACAACTAGCCACAACCTGTCTTTTACAGTCTCTAACAATAGCTCCACAAGTTGCAGTAAGAAAGTGTTGACAAACATTTCCATCTGTATTTAGTTTTACCTGACCAATAGGAGATGTGAACCACTTGATCTTGGCCTATTCCCTAGCCAATTTAGAAAGGGAGTTTTGTCTGCTCTTGCAACACAACAACAAAATTAGCATCACTAATAATCTTTTGAACTAAAACAAGGGGATTCACAGAACTATTTTGCAAGATATAAGAGTTCCTATCTTTACATATGTGTCAAACATAAAACCAAACAACTTATGTCAATTGAGAAATTTGCTAAAATAAGGATTGGATAGGTTTTCATAAAACCAAAAAGAAAGACCTTCATTGAAAAACTAGGCCCATTGTTCAAGGAAAAGAAAATGATCCTAAATATTTCTAGCATAATGGCATCACGTAGTACATGAATTATTGTCTCTAGGGCAAATCCACACCTAGTGCATAGGGCTGAATTAGTCATTCTTCTCTTGGCTCTCTCTTCATTAGTAAGTAACCTTTTATGGGAAACTTTTCAAAGGAACAACACAACTTTATAAGAACCATCTCCCAAATAAATTTTAATACATCAGAACTATGGGCAGGTTAAGGTGGGGCTTGGGACATTAATTAATAGGTACAAAATTTTGATGGAAAAGGAACCATTGCTAGACAAAACCCAAGACACTAAATATTGCCCTCCATATAAAACAGGGGGATTTAGTTGAGCAATTTCTTCACAAATGTGATCACGAAGCATGTACTTTATTTAATCCTAACCCCAATTATCCTGATTAGAGAGTAGAGTCACATGGATATCTAAGTCCCTCTCAAGAATAGAGCACAGGGAGAAACATTGCAGATTAGGAATTATAGGAACCCAATAATGCACCCAGAACCTAACGGAAAGACTATTCCTTAATCTTTAGCTAAGGCCCTTAGAGAATAAAGGTCAAAGTAAGGTCATGTTTTTCCAAAGGTGAGAGGCTCTATTATTTTTCTTAAGCTCCAAATCATGGCCAACAAACAATTTATATTTCTTGCATAGAACTTGTACTTGTTTAGATTAAGATTCCATTGTTCATTCATTTAAATTCTATGCAAAGTCACACCTATAAAATGTGTTTGGCTTAAAATCATAGTAAAAACCAAAACATAAGATTTCTAAATAATATCTTCACAAAGCTTCAACAATCTTCCCTTTTTTGGTTTTGCTAAAGCCAAACTCTTCTTAGCTTGTATTGTTGTTCTTGAATGTTTAATTCTAAAAAAAAAATGTTAGTAGGCATGATATATTTTAAGAGGTTCATGTTTAGACCATAAACTTACAAGCTTAGACTTTCTTCATCTTCTAGCAATAAAAATTCTAAAAGTGATAAAATGTGTAATATAAAATAGAATATTTTGATTGAGAGAATATGCATATCAAAACAAATCAAAGTCTCAGTAAGCAACATCAAAACAGAGCAAAGTCTTATCATTTCATCAAGTTAAATATACATTCATAAAACAAGAAACATTTTTATCATATAAATCAATACAATATGTCGAAGGTTGGATATCTTCAAGCTCAATTCAATTGCAAAGTTTTAGAAATATATTGCCAAAGATCATACTTTCTCAGTTTTAATGGAATCATTTATTCTAGAGTTTAGCATCTTCTAACACATTATTTTCAATGATAATTCACAACCTTAACTATTCACGCACAATAATCAATAACTAATTTATAGAAATTTCTTAAAAATTAGTTTTATTCATAACTCATATTATGAAATTTTATTCCAGTAGTTATGAAAATGAATTATAGTTTTACATATCCATAAATCCATCTTTACACTATAACTTTAAGAAAACATTAGGAATCTACCATCTTCAACAAGAAATTTAAATTTCTAAGTCAAAAACATATAAATAGAAGTTAGGGTTTAGGATCAGCACCCCTTACCTGGAAATAAATCTTTAAGATTAAGTTATCGTTGAGGTCCAAGAAAGGGTACAATGCTTTTGATGAAAGATTTTGTCTAAAAGAGCAAGATCTCCCTGAGTAGTACAAAATATAAATCTTTTGAAAAAGAGAAAACAGAAGAAAAGGAGTGAAGCTGGAGAACTAAGCTATGAGAAACTTACTTGGGATTGGAAGGGATAAGCGTTCAAGTCTAGACCTATAAGAGATTCAGAGTTCAGAAGAGTTTTCTTTGGGAAGGGAAGGTGAGAGATCAGGGAGGAAAAGTGAGAAAAATGTGTTTGACTTCTAATGAAAGTTTCTAGGACAGAAGTTCTTTAACTACCCCCTTAAACTCGTGAATTCTTGCTACAACGAACCCTTTTTCACAATAGCAGAAAAACTAGATAATAATTTTTTTTTATCATATATCATTATAGCTACAACAAGAATCACTCTCGCTATGGCGAGAGGGTTGTTAACTTATCCTTATCCACTTCTCGCTACAACGAGACTCTCGCTGCAGCAAGAGTGCTTTAGAGAACCTAGTTTTGGATGATTTGTCTCA